TAAATGAAATCTATCGTACAAGACCAAATCCGAGCATTCATTGTGTATTACTTTCGATATACATAGAAAAACTGGGTCTCGGCTAAACGAATGTCTACCACTGTATAACAGATGCATTACTGTAAGAACTGTCAAAATACTATGAATTTGCAGGCTAGTTTTCGTGAGATTCTGTTTGGCGAACTGAATTTTGATGACTTTGGGCCGTCCCCTTGCTTGTGAACGATTTCCCACCGGAGGTATCGTATCGTATTAAACGTGTTATCGATAACAAATGTTCAACGGAGATGGGATGGGCATTGAAGTGTGCACGGGGAATATATTTTTAACGGAGGATTAAAGACAAGTGTTTCATATGCGGAATTATCCCTAACGGAAAGTCCAGAAACAGTCAGAAAAATAACTAATAAGGGTGAGGAAATTGACATGTCAAGAAGAGGAAGTGGAGTAAATTGAGGAAATAAGTTACTTCTACTCTATTTTAAATCAATATCTAGAAAAATACACTAGAAGTTTACTAAACATCTCAACGTAGCCTACGTCAACCATTCGGTCGTGTTTTGTACACAACCCCACCATTTTTCTTTAATATACACGATAAATTTATATATAATCATGCATTATTTAATGGATACACAGTAAATACGTAAAATAAATAAATATTTCAAAATACAAATAGCAAATACAAAACCAAATTAATACATAAGAATGATATTCAACAGAGACGCTTGTAGAGGCCATGGAATCTGGGGAATACCTCGTACACGTTGAATTCTTCAATAAAGGTGGGCATAAGATAACTTAACGTCCCTGGTGACTGCTTAATAAAATTCAAATTAATATTTCAATTAACAATTAAGGAAATGATAAATAAACATAATTTGACAACTGTATCCATGGTTTGTTAGGTGGGCGTTGGCCAAATTTGGATTTTTCAGATATAATCCTAAATAGGACCTAGATTATTTAATACTCTAGTAACCTCAAGTCCGTGCTCTGTCACAATGTTTCATTGTGATTAATCAACACTCAAAGGGGTAAAATATCAAATTTGGGGTGAATTTGAAAGAAAGGGAACTTGGAGTGTAGAGCGCACTGCCCACTGGACGATTCTGAAGCCTGGCCAAGTGAGTGGGGTATGGGTTTATTTGATTGAACGTCATTTCCAATGTATATATTGATACATTCAAAGCATTGGCATTTGAGATAAGACAGAGATAGGATGCGGAGGGCCCGCTTAGGGGAAGCGTAACCCATGTTATGGTTACCATTTATTAAATAGTTCAGATAGGCTGGAAATGACAGGTTCATAGTGAGAAAATGTACCATATGGGGCCCGTTCACTGATCAAAAATCAGATTCATATCGTCAGACCCTGCCCAAGAATAAGGGGATTGACGATGTCTTGTCAAGTTTTATTTACTAGAGATTTACTCTAGTAAATCTCGCGTCCGTGTGTTAGGTGTCAATACTCACTGGGTCATATGTCTTAGACCAGTTCCAGATTAGTTTGCTATTAATATCTTCTGCATCGCAGTTCGCGATAGATTACTAAATATGGGTTCTCTTTTCCGACCATAATAGTGTGAGGGAAGGGGGTGAGTTCTGGATCAACAATTGGAGGGGGGCCCATCGGCATTTGTAAGCAGACCGTCCAGGGCCCGTTCCTCACGGATCGGGGGCTGCTCACGCGGGCCAACACCATCTTCGTGTAGGTGGAAGTTTCCCCTATCCGATGATGGTGTTGGTTTGCGTGGGTGGCCTTCGCTTTGTGAGTGGGGGGCTTTGGAGCGGTTTGTTTACGAGTGCTGATGGGCCCTTTTCTATTGTTGATCCAGAGTTAAACGTTGCGATATGAGAGCGAATAGAGGCAAATAAATAGGGAAGACAACACCATGACCCAAATAAGTAACCAATGCATGCGGCTCACACTTAACTTGTTCTATTTCTTTCTTTCTTCCTATCATGTACTAATATTAACTGCCTGAGAACAAATGGGAACACGACCAGAAGATCAATAGGAGAAAAAGAAAATTTGAACAAGAAAAGAAGAATTAAAATTGCACCGGCAAGAGGAAGCAGACAGAAAGGATCATGCCAGTTGGAGACAGCCAATGTATACTGGACGAAACTTGTATCTAGGAAAAGTCGTATGTGCAGGAAACCGTAAGTAGGATAAGAATCGTAAAAGGTGTGTGCTTGCTTGATAAGATCCTAACTTTACTTTAAATACACGGTAGGAATCGAATATCCATTTATGATTAAGGTTTTGCCCATTTTTCAGTGGAAGTGGCAATACTCATTGATGAGTGATTTATCGTACCCATTTATTAGTAACTGTTAGCAGCTAATGATTAATTGATTTACCTATTTTAGAATTACCTATACTTCACATCAGAACCTCATTTCCTTCAATTACTACTCCGTCGCATCGCAGCACACACCTTATATGGATCGCTAACCTTTATTTAGTTTCAGCATTTTCGACATTATAATCAAAAGGTGAGTTTTTAAAGTATAATTACCATGCATATAGGTAAGTTAATGTACCAGAACCTGGACGGACACGAGCCTACCCAGGGGAGGACCCGGATACGACCACCCATGTGTGTCTAGAGTATCGCACGAGCTGACGAGTGCAACGGGAAGGACAGTAGGTGTATAGACTAGGGGGTTGGTCCCTAGATAAGCCTTCTTAGCGGAAGGCACAGCCTATGCACTGAACAATTACAATTACAATTGTATCCATGGTTTGTTGAACTGAAAAAAGTAGAAGGGTCTGTGCCTAGGGGTACGAACGGAAGCTTGACGTAGGACCGCTAGTGGACGGAACAAATGTGAACATTTGGTTCTTTAAATTGATCAATCATCAATTATCTTAACTCTTTCCGTTTTTTTTTTTATTTGTAAGCGTATCAAATTTGTAGTATTTATTTCAAAGAGAAAGTTGATGAAGCAAATCCAAGGGACTGTCAACTTGAATATTTTTGATTCATCTACCCGAAATTTTGAATTTTTTGTTATTTATGAATTTTTAAGTTTTGTGCATTTTGGTATTAAAGTGTATTCAATTCACCCCTCACAGGATTTCCTTCCGAATTATATGAATGGGGCGGGGCGGAAAGTATCGGTTGTGCAGAATATGTAAAAAAGGAGGGACTTCGAGAGATTGAACTCGTGAGAGCTAATTTTCTCACAAATTTGATTTTATTGGTTTTCTGGGGACTGAAGATACATCCAAAGCGAATTATTCCCACTTCTCTCAAATTCTATATAGATTTTTAACACTTCCTACCAGCGTGTTCTGGAAAATGGTCGGACGATGATTAATCTCACCAATACATTGGGGCCTACAATTCCACACCTTCTATAGAGACCAGGTTGAGCCTTGATAGCTAGCTGCTTGCGGGAACTGATGACCTTGACAAATGTCCAAATAATACTCTTAACAAATTTACGGTAAACGGCGCCGGTGGTGTAGTGGTAAGCGTGATTACCTCTCATCCCAGCAGGCCTGGGTTCAATCCCAGTCGGCGCCGCCGGGATGTTCTGAAGCATAACATCTCTGATCACGCCTTCCTTCGGATGGGAAGTAAAGCCGTTGGTCCCCGGTTCATGAGGTGATGGGTCGATAGGTAGGGTCCAGGTGTGGGAGCTGCCTTCCTGGCACGTCGGTAGCATTGGTGCTCAGCACGGAAAACAAGATCGACGGAAAAACAAACCAAAGGGAAAAAAAAAAACAAATTTATGGTGGTCCTGAAAAGGACCGTTTTGTAGTGATGGTTGAGTAATGCTGAGCTGGGCACGACGAGCTACTGATTCCGATCCTAGCCTAGCGGTGGGACTTCTTCCTCCTTCTCTACACCCAACCGAGGGATGTAAGATTCGCTTACAATTATGTGGGATTCATCATCAGAGGATGTTTGTGGAGACCGCATGAACCGAGGATGCGATATACCTAGCTGCGGTCAAATGCAAGAAAATTGGAGACCGAAAAATGTAGAGTGTATTAGTGAGGTAAATTAGTTATGTCGAAAAAAAATAGGAATCCGATTGCCGACTGGACTCGAACAAAGAACGCTTCGATTATCAGACCTGTGCTTTCACCACTGTTCTCTCCATGCTCCTGAATATGGATAGCCTAAAAGCAAACATGAAGCGCTCATTTTCTCGCATACTTGACTTCGTATGCTTTTTCTGCTGGAGAGATTCTAGGCAAGTGTGTGTGTGTCATTCTACATTGTTCTACAATGTGCGTCGTCCTACAAGCTTACTGGTATAGTCGAAAGCGTAGATAGAACACGAAATGAAAAAGACAAAAAACCATTACATCGCCTGTAAGATCAACTTCTAACATTCGCTGCGATGTTCATGAACAGAGGATGATAGGAAACGGAACTAACATTCACTGTAATAGATTTTAGGTTTGCGTGTATGGTTGCTCATATGAGCTCTGCAGCTCGCAGCTTGCAGGCAGCCTTTCTTTGTTGTTGTTGTTGTTGAAAGTACTCCTGCTGCTGCTGCTGCTGCTACTGCTGCTGCTGGACTAAACACCACCACTTAGGGTGATTGAATGAGCACCGTTCAGTGGGACCGCATCGAATTCGATTTTTAAGTCTTTGTTAGGGAATGCGCTGTTTTCAGACATTCGGTGATAATTTTGATCACCATTGCAACAGTTGGACATTTGGTATTTTTCAATAGTGACCTATTGAAAATTAACTAAGTGTTCATTTTAGCAGATTGGTAGATAAATTTCCAATCGTTTGGCTTGTTTAGAATTAAAATCTATATGCTATTGGTCGAAACCTGAACTTGTTTCGGATTAACTTTAAAGCATCTTTCATGAAAATAATTCTAAGTTTGTTTTAATTAACATTTCGAGCCTTACTACTAAAATGTTTGTTTATCTTGCGATGCGTACCCAAAACCATTTTAAAACAATCGAGAAAATTTTGTCTATATTTCTAAGCTTTCCCTTTCTTTCTCATTTTTTACAGCAGCCGGTGATACCAATACCACACGCCGCAAGCGATTTCATCCACTACGTAACCTAAGGCGAATCTTCCGACGTCGCACGGTATCTTCGGCTGATGCCACACCCCGGCAGTTGCTGGGTAAAAGTCAAACCCACATCCACTTTGCCACATCGGGTTCCTCGACCACGGATGCCACGTTGCCACGAACTGGCCTAGGGGTACCGATCACAATTAGGGCCGATTCGGGCGGTGGTGGCATTGGAGGCGGTGTAGGCATTGCAGGAACAGGGTTCTACAAACGCGAAACCTACCGACTGCGGGACGCCGATGATCTAGACAAGGACATGTCCGATTACCAACGGAGCCTAAGCGAAGGCCGGCTGGTGGATAGGTGAGTTTGATATTGTAAACCTCGACAATTATGGATGCGCATTATTTGACTGAGTTTGGAAAATTCTTCCAACGACAGACTTTACGACGACATTTCTCGTAATTCCATGTTACCTATCATCGTTACGAACGATAAGCTGATTAGAATTCCATACACAAGTCACGGGTAAATATAGTGGTATTCCAAACAAACTACGCCACTCACCACTAAATAAACCTCGGCTCCCCCTATACAGACAGCCACCCACCGGTCGTAACCCTGAACCTGGGCTGCGCTCGAAAGTTCAATCGATCCCGCGCTTGGTCTTCGCAAACAAAAGTACTACGGCGCGGTGTTACGACACCTATTTCACCTATTGCAGCCCTCTCGTTCCCACTATCCCAAGTCGTATGCTATCTTATCAGTTTGCTGCCAATCGCCCGCTTGTATTGAGCATTTAAAGTACCTCATCGATCCCGAGAGCAGTAATTCAGTGTCGCTATCGCTATTCCAATAATCGTACTTCACTAATTGCCGAGAGATTAGCGCTTCCTACACGGTCGGCTCCAAAACTGGCAGTGTGGTGCAAATGTGAACAACAAACAAAAATCAAAGTGAACAAAAACACACAGAAAATGTTGGACAACCTCTCGAGAATCGAACCAACCCGGAATCGATCTGATTTACTCAGGTGAGGAAACGTAACCGCAGGCGATGATGACAGCGAGAGTGAAGTGGGTGCTGCATTGTTGTCGAGTCGAGTGTGCGCTCATTAATAATTGTGTGGCATGATTAGCGCGTGATTCAGATGCACGATCAGTAAACAAAAAAGTGGGTGAATGAAGAGGTTTTTGGCGATTAGTGGATTTGCTTGTAACCTTCTCTAATCGCTGGTTAACAATTAAGAGTGCGTCGAAGTGCATTCAATTCAAGTTTGGTTCGTAAAGCAATGATTTAATGCTTATCAAACTACAGTGCAGAACCGATATCCGTACAACTTAAAAAAATTTAAACCGAATGAATTTCGATACATTTCTTATTTTACATGTATGGATATAAGATGAATGTAGTAGTTTCTTTTGTGTACCTAGTACTTATCAAATGTTGGATCGAAAAAGCATTCAACGGCCAAGGGCACACCACATAGATTTCCTATTCGACGAAAAATGAGCATGCACGTTCCTAAATTTGAAACAAAATTTTGCAATGCGTGTACCCAAGCAAAGTCGGATATCAAAAATATATCAAAGTGATATCAAATTATGTTTTTGAAATCATATTGATAACATATTTTGATACACTATTCTATTTTTCAGTTGAATTTATATTTTGATATTATTTTGATATTTGAGGGGGTTAAAAAGAAAGGGGTGTAAGTGACTTTGATCGATTCCCTTTATGGACTTTCTCTTTTGATAGCCACAGCTTTATAAACAGATTTTGCGCTTTTTCTGTCACCCAATGACGCATTCATCTAGATAAAATTGATAAATAGCAGATTTTTAGCGATGGGCCAAATCTTAGAATTATAGGCCGACATTAGAGCCATTTCCCCTATATCATTTAACGGAATTCTGTTGATGGAAATTATTCGCCATGCCTGTCTATGGTCACCTGGAGGTCTTTTGTATCATTTCTGAGCAATCTGGTATCTTTAAATATACCTGGGATATATTATTTGAACTTGCGTGCAGTTGAAGATCTTCATGTGAAGTACATGTACAGTTGACGATCTTCATAATGAAGTCTTCAACAAATATCCAGAGTAGTTTTTGGAGAAGAATTATCACCTGACTTTGAGATAATTTCTGGCCAACCTGGTTTTTGGGAGATTAACTGGGAAATGAGATTTGAATTGTTAGGTAGTTGAAGATCTTTAGAATACCCAGCCAACCAGAATCGTAAATTGCTACTGATAAAGTCGACATCGCATACAAGAATGAGATGCGCCGTATAATGTTTAAAGAATGCAAAGTATCAACCTATTTTTAAACTAGTTCGTTTATTTGGAAGGCTCAATTGCGTTAGCTTTACGGAGCCGACAGTTCATTGTTCTTTGTTTGTAACAAAATTCACTTAATTCTATGTCTAGTAGGAGTTGGGCCGAATACTCGTGGCTTACTCAAGGTTAGAGAGGTACATTGTCGAAGGATAGGATCAGGGGAGGAGCTTGGGGGTAAGGTTTTGTTGTCTCATCAGAGCGTTGTCGCCAGTATGAACGGTAGTACGGCTCTAGTTTCGTCTGGAGTTCGACCGGCTATGATGACCAGTGGGCGACGATGAGACTCATCGAGACGGGGGGACAAGACAAACAAAAGCTATTAAATAGAGACAAAAGACAATGGAATTAAATTCTTATACTAGACATTTGCAGAAACAAGTTTCAACCTATTGGCGTTGATTTATTTTTGTATCATACCGTATCACAAAAAAAAAACTCGAATGATGTTGTAAGGTTTTTGAAACTGAAATTGTTATTATAGATTAGATCGTAAATTATGTTTGATCAAATCGATGAAAATTAAGTGTCAATTAACTCGTTTACTACTTCCCCAGATAACCAAAGATAGCATAAGAATGTACACACTAGATCGCTTCAAGATCAGACCCATATGACTATAAGAGCATTTCATCTTGTTGCAATTCAAGTTGAAATTAATGCAAAACTACGATCCAAATGCGATTTTCTCAACTGCTCTTTGAAAGATCGTAAATGGTTACACCTTCCTATTGCGTGAAATCAAACTAAAATATTTTTTGTAAATTAACAGATATGATTGTCATAAGATGTGTGTGAAGGTGCCGTGGAATCTAAACAAATTCAAGATCCAATCGTTAATCTGAAGCTTTTCATCAACATCAAAATCTTCCCAAGTCCAAGTAGGCTTTTCGAAGCGTACTTACAAGTGCTTATATGGCGTAGTGGATTCAGTTCTGGTTTCTAGATACGAGGGTAGAGGTATGGAGACTAGCTGCAGGAATTAATTTTTTTTTTTGTTTTATTTATATGGGTGATCGTATTTCTGTTATATTGAAATCAGCAAAATCGTTATTGGAAATCCTGTGTGTATGTATATGGCCTCCACTTTGGAAAGTATAAAGCAAATCTGCGCATTTTATACGATTTGTTTTGTTAGTATATCACAGTGTATATCCGGAACTATACACTGAAAATAAAATTTCGTTTATACAACGAAATCGCTCGTTTGTTCTACGAATTTATTCGTTGTTTTCTGCAACGAAATGGATTTGTACATTGTATGAAGCTAGTTTCGTTAGAACTGCCACATTCGCTATCGCTACACCCAACCAGCGGGCCACTAGTGTTGGTTGTGGAGACCGAAAAATGTGGAGTGTGTTAGTGAGGATGGGTAAAAATAACTTCATTATTGTAAGGGATAAACATGACAAAAATATAAAAATAGGTTTTAGACTGGACTCGAATTATGAGAACCTAGCCAGATCTGTTCCTTATCCATCACTCTATCTGTGCTACGAAATAAGGGTAGGCTAAAAGCAAATAAGAAGTACTCATGGACCGGTAATTCCTTTTTCGTTTGCTTTTTCTGCTGCTTGCATGTATTTTTTTTTCCCTCTGACATAAAACCACCGTGACCTGTATTTTGATTTATAATGGTAGCTTGCATGTATTGGTCAAACCGACAATATTAAAAAAAAAGTATCCCATCTCCAACACACAATCAGAACTTTAGGAGCCAATAAGCGAAGTTGTTGGTTTGATTGTACGAAGATGAATTTGTATATTATACGAATAAGGCGTAATATTGACATTGCGCCAGATGACAGGGAAAACGAATGTTTCGTACCATTATGAAAGATGTGCTGTATGTACGATATTCATTTTTACGAAACGTTTTTCAGAGAAATAACGAAAATACATTTTCAGTGTACGGACCAACATGTTGACTGGGTAATACCTTATCAAGCTAAAATATTGAACAAATAACCTTATGACTTCTGGGAGGTCTAGATATTTGCTCAAGACTGCAGGTAGATCTGGATTTTTTTCTGAAATTTTTTAACTGTCCATCAAATCAAATCAATTCCATCAGTTATTCTCTCATAATGCCATGGTGGAAAAACAAAGGTCTCCATAAAATTCATTAATATTACCAGAATTCTCATAAACTTTTCCTGGTAATGAATGATCTTCATAATGTCCTCTGGATTTTTTTTATATTTATCTGGTCCATCAGGTTTTATTCTGAAAATCTTAAATGAGCATGAGCATGAGCATGATTGACCGCCAAAGGTTGTTTCTTTGTTATTTCCAGATCAGCTGTAATTACACAAAGAACCAATATACGATGCTTGGGATTAGCAATCATCCTCAATGTGTAAAAACTTGTTTTCTAAGTCTAGGCAACACCAGCGCTGGCCGCGCCCGAACACAGGTCAAGAAAAGAGTGGGTAGGAATGTGTTGACGTGACACTCGCTTTAATGGAAGCCGAGAACACCTCTGCACTTCCACGAGGAAACACTGGGATATTGGGTAAGAGGGTTGGGATTGCAACGGGGTTCGTTTTGGTAAACGATAAGCTGAATTGATGTCCTAACGATCATATAACGCGAAGGAGCTTGGGATTGAACCCACGATATTCTGCTCAGTAAGCAAAAAACGTTTGCTACTAGGCAAACGAGCTCCTTTGACTGCAACACACCAATGATCAATTTGTTGTTATTCCAATGTATTCACATTAACAAATAAAGCGATTTACTAATCTTGAATGTGGAGGGGCTTGAGATTAAACTCATGATTTTCTACTCAGTGAGCAAAAATGGTCACTATAAGGCCATCAAGCCCCTCATTTCACATCATACAAGCTACAATCGCGTTGTTGTTGCAACCATTCAAAACCGGTCCCGATGGTGACGTTGATGACGATGTTAAGTTGCACAAATACACAATAATAAACCTTTACGACCATCCTTAACCTTAAGCCTTCATTAAATTCTACTTTTACACGACGTTCGTTGTTTCGATTTGGTCCTTACGTAA